ATGAAGAGAATTCTTGAAATTGATGGAGTAAGGGTAGAAATTAGGGTTCTACATGTACTATACAATATATATATAGTCCATGTGTTAATATATTAATTTAGAGAAAGGAAGAAGAAAAAAAAAAAAAAAGGTAAGTAGAAAAGCTACAGCGGGTTGGAGTTAGAAAGAAAAAAAAAAGTTATTAATTCTTCCAATAAGTTTATTACAATAAAGGTAAGTTTAAAAAACTGAAACATCGTTTTTTTTTCAACATCAAGTGAAACGACGTCGTTTCACTTTAAGATTTTTTTTTTTAAACACTTCAATCAAAACGACGTCGTTTCATTACAATAAACCTAAAAAAAAAAGGGGGTCGTCCTCCTCGCGACGCCGTCTTCCTCGCAGAGGATTTGCAGACTTGAAAATTTCTTCATGTTCAGAAGTTTCTAGATATGGTGCGCCTTGCAACGCCTCCCTCCGCTTGGCCACGCCTTGCAACGCCTTCTCACACCTTACCAGCGCTAAACGTGCAACTCGCGAAACAGCCGACCGCCTCGGGCGTTTTCCTCCCGCCTCGCTCCGATGCGAGCTCTGACGCGCGCGAAGGCATGCCTTTGAAAACACTGACCTATATACATATCATTTGCCTAAACTAAATCTACTTATCACTTCCACTGCAGGCAGTAACCAAGGAAACATCTGGGTATTTTTTTCTTGCACTTTCGACAATTTTGCAGTGTGCTGACCAACCTGGCAAGTATTTTGCAAGGGTACTTACTGTCTTAAATTCATAAGACTTTGGTAAGGTTGGAGGAAAGGAAAGTAGAAGATTAATTTAACATTATATTGATTTATAATCTGGAATTCGTTAATTGCAGGTTTTACACAAGGCAATGAAGGGTTTGGGTACGGATGACCCAACACTGATAAGGGTAATTGTGACAAGGGCTGAGATTGATATGCTGTACATAAAGGCAGAATATCGGAATCAATACGGAAAATCATTGCATGATGCAGTTCAATCAGATACCTCTGGACATTACAAGGCCTTTCTTCTCTCTCTTTTAGGCACCAACCCTTAGCCAAAATCATTCTGCCAAGTATCAGACTTCAAATTCTCTCTTTTACGCAATCTAAGAGGCTTGAAATTAATTAGACAAAGTTTGATCGGTGGATGTTAAACAAGGTCAAAAGCTATGGCCTAAGCTGCAAGTTGTTTCTTAATCTGCTTCAAATGCAGACTGTCTCCTGCCTGGCTGGTCATACTTGAATGTATAGACTAGAGCCCTGAATTTTGTTTTCCATGTGTGGTTTAGGTTAAAACTCGTGTAATAATATGTACATGAAAATTATAAGCATCATATGTTTGTGATAAAATTAACCAGTCTACATAGGCTACCCCTCTCCCCTGTTTTTTCCTTTTCCATTTTTACCTACCTCTGGGGCATCTAGCACATAGTCCTAAACCAATGCGATAAATAGAGGCTGCCTGCCTAATTATGCAGTAGTTTTGTGCTAGCAGTTGGTCTTCTCGATCGGTTTAGCTAGTTAAATAATTAGGCGTAGCATATATATGTATTTACTAGCGACGGATATATATATTCCAAAATTTGAACCTAAACGATTGTCAATCATTTGCTTCCTCAAATAGTTGAATTCCTTGAAAAATGGCATGCCACATTAACCAAACAAGTAGCCACCCCAAACTTAGTGATCGTGATCATTGGTGAACGGCAGCTTTAAATACAATCCCATTACTTGATTAAATTTTGCATATCTGACATAATTACCTTTCCCTAGTATTTCTCTTCATTTAATCTATACTGCTCTTAATTTGCCTCCCCTTTTGAAACTGTCTCTTATTTATTATATCCTAATTAACCCCCGTCTCCTACAAAAGCCATGGTTAGCAACTCAGCCATGGCTTGCCTTCATGAAAAAAACGTAGCTTCACGCCTTCATCTGGTATCGGTGTTTTGCATTTCTTTGGTCGTTTCCGGCTTTGCAGAGCTTCAGAGGTTTCAACACGCAACAAAAGATGATGGGTCGCTTAGCTTTTTGGTGGTTGGAGATTGGGGCAGAAGAGGGTTCTATAACCAATCCGCAGTTGCTTTACAGGTCCTTAATTAAGTCACTTTTATAATCTATATATGTTTCTGTTGTTTTTACGACTAATTAATTATATCTATTGACATGCAAGACAGATGGGAAGGATTGGAGAGCAATTAGATATAGATTTTGTTGTATCCACCGGAGATAATTTCTACGGTGATGGATTAAGGGATGTAAACGATCCAGCATTTTTGGAGTCCTTCAAGGACGTTTACACAGCTACTAGCTTGCAAAAACAGTGGTATAGTGGTAAGTTTATTAACAAAATCTCCCTCATTCTCTGCAATTCTATCACATTTGTATCAATTAAAGATTTATGCATATATCGATCATATTTGTGCAGTTTTAGGAAACCATGACTATAGGGGTGATACTGAGGCACAATTAAGCCCTGCCCTCCGAAAGATTGATAGCCGATGGCTTTGCCAGAGATCCTTTATTCTTAATACAGGTAAAATCACATTTATTTTTATTTTTCATTTTACTTGTCGCTCGAGGTTGTGTGTTCGAATTCCTTTCTTCATATCGCTCGTATATAAATAAATAAAAGTCTGAAAATCAACCACCTTGATGAATTTTTACTTTCATAATTATATGTTCTTATTTAATTTTGCATACAAATTTAAATTTGGTAGGAATTGCGGAGTTCTTTTTCGTGGACACCACTCCATTTGTGAACAAATACTTGGTTGACCAAGACCATAATTATGATTGGCGAGCAGTATCTCCCCGTGGGACTTACGTAGCTAACCTTCTGCAGGTAACTACTCCCTGTTACATGTAGCATGTAACATGGGTTTTTATTCATTTATTTATGAAACACAAGAAGATCACAAAATTTTGACGATGATTATGTTGATCACTGTAACAAGGATTTGAAAGTGGCATTGAACAAGTCAACTGCAAAGTGGAAGATTGTCGTTGGTCACCATGCAATCAGAAGTGTTGGACATCACGGCGACACTCCGGAGCTCATACGTCTCCTCTTACCAATACTTAAGGTAATAATTTGCCCATCATTATCATATATTCGTTAATCAAAAGGCTCCGGAGATATATCAAATTATGGTTAGGGTTTGATTTTATACAAATTTATAAAAAAACCCAATTCTAGACATGTATTTATAAAAAAACCCAAGCACTATTTGAACATAGAAACACACCCAAAATCAACTCCAAAGTCAACTTTTTGGGTGTGTTTATATGTTTAAATAGTGTTTGGGTTTTTTTATAATTTCAACCCCTATTTTAGGTGTTTTAGTGAAACTCCCTATTATTGTGATGACTTTCAGGCTCACAATGTTGATATGTACATGAATGGACATGACCACTGTCTGGAGCACATTAGTAGCCTCGACAGGTAGAACAACGAGAACCCTAATTAAATTAATTAGTAGATTATTAATTTCTTGAAGGAAACATGTGTCTGTATATTAATGATGGATCTAAGCCAATTTTAATTACTTTGATGAATTGCAGTCCGATTCAGTATTTAACAAGCGGGGCAGGTTCAAAAGCATGGAGAGGAGATGTTAAGAGTTATAACAATCGAGCCATGAAGTTCTTCTATGATGGCCAAGGTTTCATGTCTGTGAAACTGACCGGATCGGATGCTAAGATTGCATTCTATGATGTTTTAGGCAGGCTTTTGCACACCTGGAAGATGTCTAAGCCGCTTCACTCTACCATGTAATTATGAAGTGCTCGCCTCCCCATGGCAGAGAGGCCAACACAACAATCAGGAAAGGAAAATTACAACACAGCTAGTTGATCAGTTTTGTAAATTAATTTAGTAGTTGGGGATACGCACTCTGTGTACATGTCATTATTTATTTCTAGGCTTCATGTACGTACGGGTTCTCTAGCTATGTATATTAATAACACAATATTTTATTCTTCTCTGATCAGTCCACATGATTTCCAACTAGTCCTTGATTTTACTTAGATCCCCAGAGAACAGCAGCCTCATATTCATAGTTATTGATTTTGTCAAGTGATTAATAACACAGATACTTTCATTGATGATGCCCGATTTCATCTTGCTCGATGGGATCAATGTTCTCTTTCCCATGTTTCTAGATACGGCAATAACGTAGTAGCACATTGTTTGGCTCGTTTTGTGCTTTCTGTTCATAATGCTTGTTTTTGGGAGCAACCACCTAATTTTATTCAGGATATCTTGCTTGCCGACCTGTTGTAACTCGACTCGACCTATTATCAATCTTATCGCTAATTTTCATAAAATAAAAAAGGAAATAATTCATTCTGATTCATTTGCTAAGCTGGTATGATTCTGTGTCGGGGAGTCGGGGACCTTGGGTATGGAATAATGGAACATGTTGTTATCAAATTTATTTGGATGGGCAATGGCGGCGGTAGAAATTCTATCAAGGAGGGTCAACTTTAAATAGCTTTATAATTACATTAAATTTAGTTTTTATAAGAAAATATATTTGCGAATTCATTATATTTCAATATCACAAATTTAATATCTTAGTAAGCATAACTTAAATTCTAGCAACCTACAAATAATGAAAGAGTATCAAAAGTTGATTTTAGATAAAATGAGAAAATCAAATAAAATCCATGGCGCATACATATAAATGACATATGAACACATGCAAATAAATATAGATCTGTTCATTGTAGACAATTTACATTTGCGAGAATGGTCAACGGTAAATATAGTTATAAAATAATTTGGATAACATAGATAAATATAAGGTTTTCAAAATGTTGAGAATGGTCAAGTGACCCTTGTGGGTCTTCATTGGCTTCACCAATAGCATGGTGGAATGATGAGAGTCATGCAAGGAAATTTCGAGCTTGTTAAACTATATGATTTTCTTAGAAATCGATCGCGATCGAGTGGAATGTATGTATGTATATATAATTTATAATAATATAATAATGATATTATATACTGTGTCTCAGCGTCAGATCTCCACTTGCGTTTCTGCGTCAGATCTCCACCACCATCCTTTTTACGGTTTCCTTTTGTTCAAAATAAGTCACAGAGACTCTTTGGGTTCTCATGTGTAGTTTTCACCTCTCCTTGTGAATGCTTTTCATCTCTTATTTGCGAGAGTTTTATTTATATTGCTATGACTTGATTTTTCTCTTCTTCAAGATTTATCTCTTTTTGATTATTCTTAGTTTATAATCTTAGTTGGGATGCCTATACCAAAGTTTCTTCGATAATGTGTGATTGTTAGTGGAGGAGCACCATATTGTTTTGATTTTGATGTTAGACCGTTCTGTTATTGTAATGGTCCTTTGTGGTTAGTTTGTATTGGCCCTTTATGGATAGTTTGTATTGATCATTTGTGGCTAGTGACTTTTTTGGTTGAATTATAAATGCAATCCTAGAATTTTTAAATAAAAAAACACAAATGAACTAAATTCACTTTCATGTAATAATCCAAAATAAACCCATATATATGATGATATATAGATATAGGTCCACTTGAGACAGGTAACTACTGGATCGGGGTGGTAGTTTGAAGCAATCTATTTAAAAATACTAAAATGAAAGGCATGCAGCTAACCATGACACTTTTATATATATATATATATATAGAGTGAATACTGAACAGACAAATGCATGTGATAAAAGGTATTCTTCTAGTGGCGGTTTTTCCATCAGTTGAGTTGAGATAGACCACCCCTGGCACAGTGCGTTATTAGTGGAGAAATTTCTTGTCGATTTGTGTATGATTAATCGTAAACGTCATGTGTGGCCTCGCGAACCCCATTCTCCATTATTCATTTTGATAGCCTTAGCCTTGCTATGTTGTCACCGATTCCATTTTGCCCTTTTGATATATGTAATATTATATTCTTCTTGTGAAGCAAACTATTGTCATCCTATCCAATCCAGTGAGTGCCCAAATCACACGCATCCATATCTGTTTGTATGCAACCCAACTCAACCATATAAAAAGACAGGGGGTTGCCTTGCTTTGGAGAGACCCTCCATACCATTTTAAGCTTCTTCTTTTTCCATTTCTCTGCTCTTCCCTTGTTCTTAATTAGCTAAGCCAGTTAGCTAGCTATGGAAATGAAGACCACGACTATTGCAAGTGTTTTGATCTCTGTTCTAGTTGTGTGCCGCTTTTCTTGTGCAGCAGAGCTACTACGACGATTTCAGCACGCACCCAAAGCCGATGGATCTCTTAGCTTTTTGGTTCTTGGAGATTGGGGCAGAAGAGGAGCCTTCAATCAATCTCAAGTTGCTCTTCAGGTACTTCCATTCCATCTAACACTTGATTGTTTTCCTTTCCTCCTCTTCTTAAATAATCTTCTAATTGTTTTTATGTCCTCTACTTTCTCTATTTTGTTCTTTTGCTCCTCCGTTTGGGGAATAATTCCGTTTATATTCTTTATACTCACTATCTATCCAGTCTACATGGTTCCGTTCTCGGTCATAAGTTGCGCATGCATGATGTAGGAATGGCCCATTTCCAAAAAACTAGGACAACTTTTTTATGTCGTGGCCCAGATTTGACTATTATCAATACTTTACTTTCATTGGCTCCCAGAGCTCTGAGACGGAAATCCATTACAAAGAGAATGAACTGAACACCATTATTTGTCTGCTTTACATCCAATCAGCTTCTGACACAACACAATGTATGGATTGGGTGTTTATACAATTGTATTATTGGAGTATGTACAGCTCACAGCGGATATTCCTTTTTCTTGCACTACATGTACACGGAAATGATTGGTTTCTGGAAAATAATGCTTTATATTACTTTAGTTGGGCCAATAAATAATGCTTTATTTCAAATGGGTTGTTCAGCTACTAAACTTGAATCATCTGGTAATGGTAGGTATGAATGGCAACTTGAAATTTCCTCAAGAAAAAGATTTCACCTTTACCACATATAATAGCTTAGTAATTTTCCCCTATGGGTCAAGCTCAATGAAAATGGGTTTTGACTTGTATACTAGTGGTCTCAAATTTGATCTCCCGTACATTGATAGTGTGTGTGAGAAACCTAATTTCCCTTAGTTTTAGACTATCACTAGTATTTTGGATATTGATTTTGTAATATCCACGGGGGATAATTTTTACGATAATGGATTGACGGGCATCGACGATCCAAATTTCGAAGACTCATTTACCAAAATCTACACAGCACAAAGCCTGCAAAAGCAATGGTACAATGGTACATATCCCAATTCCCAAACTCTTAGATAATTAAATCCACGCTAGTTTTAAAAGCAATATATATATATATATATATAATAATGTTTTTTGTATTGCAGTTCTGGGTAATCATGATTACAGAGGTGATGTTGAAGCACAACTGAGTCCTGTTCTCAGAGAATTGGATGCCAAATGGCTTTGCTTGAGATCCTTCATAGTTGATACCGGTAAGGCTAAGGTGTACATCTCAAAATATTTACGTTCTAAACAGAGAAAACCAAATTGTTTTCTTCAGGAAATAGTTTTATTAATCACATTATTGTTATTTTTCTATATTGGCAGAAATTGCAGAGCTTTTCTTTGTGGATACAACTCCCTTTGTTGATAAATATTTCACTCATCCAGAGGACGCTGTCTATGACTGGAGTGGCATATTACCCCGAAATGATTACTTATCAAATCTCCTCAACGTATACTTCATTTCTCCTCAAATTCAAAATTTTCCAAACTAATCTAATTAGAATACTAGCTAGAATTAATAAATTTGGTTTTGGTTTTGGCGAAGCATTTGGATTCAGCATTAAAAGAATCTACTGCAAAGTGGAAGATCGTGATTGGCCACCACACGATTAGAAGCGCTGGATATCATGGTGAAACAAAGGAGCTTGTAACACAGCTTCTCCCAATTCTTCTGGTACTTGATTTCATACTAAAAACTATTCATACTAAAAACTAGAAGAAGAAAAAACACCCACCTTTTCCTTTTTCTTTTTGGTTTTTTTAATCAACGATGATCGTGCATGCATGTCTTAAACTTTCAGGAGAACAAAGTTGATCTTTACATGAATGGGCACGACCATTGCTTAGAACATATAAGTAGTCCCGACAGGTACTAGAATTCAATTAATCTTTTATTTAATTTATTATTAGCCACTGCATTTTTGCTTTTGTTTGTGTGGGAAAATAACAATAATTTTACACGCAGCCCACTTCAGTTTGTAACAAGTGGTGGCGGGTCGAAGGCATGGAAGGGTGAAGTTAGCCTGTACAATCCAAGCGAAATGAAGTTGTATTACGATGGGCAGGGTTTCATGTCAGTGCAAATCACTGAAAGCCAAGTGGATATTGCATTCTATGATATTTTTGGCAATGTCTTGCATAAATGGGCCACGTCAAACCAGATTTACCCTACCATCACCATGTAACGCAGACGAGGACGAGGACGAGGACAAGAAGGAGGAGAGCGTCGACTCGACATGCACCTGCAAAACTACTTATATGCTAAGCTCTAATTAGCCTACTACAACATAAATGCCATTGCCAGGGCTATACGTATGTGATTAATGGAAACTAGTTTTCTTGTCTTTCCGTCTCCGCTAATTCACCTTCTTTGAGGAAAGTCATTATCTTTGAATTGATAGGGCTACAAAACTGCTGGCAAAGTCTAAGAAAGCCTAATGTAATAAATCATGGGATTTGGCCATCATGAATGCATTCAAACATGGGCAAATTATCAGAACATCCTCCAAAGGAAGGAGAAAAATTCACTCTTTTCTTGTTACAAACTAGAACAACTGGGAAAGCAACGAATTATTTAGCAATTGAAGGCAAAGAGTTTACCATAATTTAATCTTAGTTCATGCTTAACACGGACGGAAAACTGGAAATGGAAGATTTGATGTTTGGTGGTGTCCTCAAGTAATCAATCTCCAACCGATGTGTCAATAGTGCCATATAGACATTTAACAGTTAGAAATAACATCTCAAAATTGCTCCGACCAACCCAAGAGTTTCGTAGAGAGGCGATTACGAATCCCTTCAAATTCAACCCTCTTAGAGCATCTCCAACCGAAATGCCAATTCCAACGTGGCAAGTTTTAACCTAAAAAAAAGACATTTTAAGCCTTCCAACCGTGATGCCAAATCCTAGTTGGATTGACATCCTTCACTTTTGCTGTCAAAATTGACGCCAAGATGTTGAGATGTCTTTTTATTTTTTATTATTATTTTAATGCTGAGCCCACTTTCTTCTCTCCTCTTCCATGTATAGTTCTTAACTCTATTTAATATTTTACTCTTAAATATCAGGCCCACCTGCCTTTAAAAATAATAAAATAAAATGTATATTTGACATCTTGGTTGGATAAAGAGTTTTACAATATGTCAAATTGTCACATCAGCCATCAAATTTAAATTTGATGTTTTGTATTTAACATCTCTTTTGGAGATACTCTCACATCACTCCAACCAATGTGTCAAAGTTGATGTGGAATGAATGCTAGAGGTTGAGATGTTGGTCAAGGCCGCTCAATGATTGTGAGTAGTTCCGCCCCTACATACGCGTGAACAATTGGCTTTGTAACTAATCTTATCTAAGAAGTTGTTTTGAGGCTTTATGTAAGCGTTTCTCCTTGTAAGTGATTTTATACAAGTACTTTTATTAAATCGAAACGTGTTAAGTGCTACATATTCCTAACACGTAAGACTTTTATAACCAAATTTTTCTGTCCAACGTTAGAAGAGCATCTCCAACCCGTGTCACATAGACATTTAACAGCTAGAAATGACATCTCACATCACTCCAACCGATATGTCAAAACTGATGTGAAATGAAGGCTGGTGGTTGATATGTTATTTTTGACATACCAAAAGCAAGATGTCAAATGAATATTTTATTATTTTT